GCCATATTATTCATTTTATATCCACTCCTCCTCACTAAACAGTGGATAAATATACAAAATGTAAAGATATGTATTAGCATGCAGATAACTTGCATGAAATACTATAATTATTATGTATGTTGGGATGTTGTTGTGCGAAATGTCCACTCAGACGGCATGCAAACTTCCGAGGCTGCCAAGTGGTTCAAGAGTTAGGCTGTTGTATGGAAATAGTTGAAAGACAAGTGGCAAGAATCAGGAAGCCACAATCAACACTCACATCACTTTTAGATGCAGCAAGCAACTACAAAAGCAAAGCAAATATATTCTTGTAAGCATATTGTAGCCAGTAAGAATGCACATTAGGGTTGCACTCTTTTGGATGGTAAATCAGATAGTGTATAAACGAAATTTTGAACAAATAGGGGTCGCCTGGCCCTCTAAAAGGTTTAATGTACCTACATATCTCCTAAACCACTTAAACTACAGTAAACAAATTCGCTCGGAACGAATCCCTTACCGATCCTGTAAAAATGGATGAAATTGGATGATAACCAGAGATGGTACGAGAAGGCTTTATAAGACGATGGGTGTGGCATCGCCCGTATTAAGATATAAACCCATATATCAGGACCTACTCAACCGCTATCGACCAAATTTAGTATATAATATTATCTTGACATTTACAACAACTCCTAGTTCCCATATAACACAATTTTAAATTCCAACTGCTCCTTTAACATTCCAGTATATAAGCAAGTACCAAAGAATGCATCAGGATAAAATGTTGCCCAAATTGTGCGCTTAAAGTAGGCCACCTTATGGCCAAAAATTGTTAAAACCCCCCCCATACCGAATATATGGACCCTAGTCCCTACAGCGAAGATTTTTTCGAAAATATCGGTCAATCTGTGAAATACATATATTATTTAAATTCGGAGAAAATCCTTTCCTAGTAACAGTATGCCTGTATGTTATGAATTGAATCGGATGAAGGCTTAGCCGCCACATACCTAATACAAAGATTTTCGAACTTCCGGCCTTGGTGAAAACGAGGAAGCGTATTTTACTAATAACTAATTTATTCCATATTTATTTATGATGGTAAATGCCTTAACGAAACTCAGGGAGAATATTTTTATGGAATGTTAATAGTATGTGGTATTGCCAAAAATAAATTGGGTCAATATATCTTTTAGACTAGACTTATTGTTCAAGATATTGACAGTTAATCCGAAATCGTCGAAGGGTAACGTCTAATAGTCATATGTATAAGTATGTCTTTATGAGTATCTGCATTTTAACTGCTAGTCAAGGGATCTTTAATTAGTTAATCGACCTTTCAGCTGCATGATGTTTGTAGAATCGTTAGAATCTTAAACGTTTTAGTGAGCCTTTTTGAGACTGACTGAACTATATGACATATGTTACATAGATATAATATATTTTTTTAAACCGGTTCTCATTTGTTTTATGGAGGCACCTAACAAGACAACGACAGATCATCCGGTAAAAGCCAGATGTTAATTTAAGAGAGTTGGAGATACCTAAACATCAAAAAGGATGGTCAAAGCGATAAAACATCAACCTATTGAAATTGGTGCAGGTAATACTTAAGTTACATAAAAACCACGAGATGTTTTGAAAAGCAGAAGCGCTGAGGTTTTAAGAGAGTTAACTTTAACCCACACGAAATATTTGCAAGAGTTTTTCAAGCAAAAAATTTAGGCAGACCCTAAAATACTTGTACATATGATTGCACACATTGCAGACAGATTTACATATAAATCTGCACACAAAAAAATACGAAATTAAAACAATACTCACAATATAGACAATGCAACAAAAACAATAAAAGCGGAGACAACAAACAATTGCAACAACAAGTAACGTTAGTCAAGCGTGATAGTATGCAAAATAGAAAACAGCTACAATCGTACATATATAATGGTCGTATGAAGTAAGTAAGCATGTGAGAAGTCATACTGTCAAAAACAACTAAAAACAAAAAACCGAAAACCCAAAGCCCGAAGCTGTTGACTTGACATCCATTGGGCGCTCAGCTCATGCCACTAACTCGCCGCTTACTGCTAATACAACAGTATCCTTTACATAATCATTGAATTGGCATGTTACCGTTCCCACTTCCTCCCCTCTTTGGTTCTACTTTACTTCCTTTCCTGTCTACACATATTCTTAAAACGTTGCATTGGCATTGTCCTTGCTCCAGTAAAGCACATACACTCTAAACAACCGAAGTCTCCCTGGCCTTCGTGCTTTGTTGCCTCGTTTTTGTAGATTTATTGTTATTTTATATTTGTCCAACTGTCTTTCGTCGTCATTCTATTTATCTGTCTACCAGTTGTTTCATTCCGCTACGATTTATATTTTCGGAAATGCTTAAAATTTATGTATACTCGTCCGAGCAATGGGTTCATCCTTTCGTATTTGTACTGGAAGCATGAGAGGATGCGAGTGTGTAGTTTTTTTCTTTTTTTTGTTTTACAGAAGAGTTGAGTTGATATGTGCAGCTGATATCTGTGTATGTATGTACATAAATTGTTGTTGGTTTAAAAATGTTTCTAAAATATTGACAATGCGAGTGTTCTGTTCCGGGTGCTTTAAGGCGTAAATCACTCAGAGCTTGTTAAGTGCACTCGTACATCTAGCGTGTAAGAGTTATTCCTTTGAATAAAATATTAGTTTGCTTTTATATTCGCTAATTGGTGAAAACTTATGGATTCCCCAATTCATTTGAAGACCAAACGTGCAAAGCGTTTTCAAGAATAAATATCTAGTGGTAAATTAACAAAACCCGTAGGAGACGGAGGTACACGCCGTCTAACTTTTAAATACGACAAATTGAAGAAGGAAAGAAATATTGAATTACATATATAGATTCTGTATATAACAGAGGGTTCAATTAAAATGAGGTTTTATAGAAAGTGTAAATGTATATTATTCTATGTTCTCCTCAGACTCCAGAAACATATTATAGTTACAATACAGTTTTCGTCAACTCGGATAATAGTGATCATTTCAGTACCATAGTTCAGTACGATTTCACTTTTGATACAAAATAGACAAGTTTCTTGGCAGCGCTCATTATACTGAGGTCTGACAACAGAGGAAAGTATCTAATTTGTATCTGTTCTGTAAATTAAGCTCAAGCATAGAAAAAAGAAAATTGGCAACATTGGGTGATATTTTATAATATATGACTAAATATGTAAAGCTACAGACAAATTGATTTGGTCTTAGTATATGAAATTATATTCGTAGATCCATCCAATTGTAAATAAGCATACTAGCATATCATCTTGAAGCTTGTCTATCCATAAGGAAGCAACATTCTTTCTAACATGCTCGTATTCCATGTGGCTGCGCCTCTTCCATATGTACCAAAATCGTAAAACTACAAAAATGCAACAACAATGGGAAACGAATAACAAAGCAACAAGAGCAACACAGAAATTCGTTGTAACTATTCCAAACAACTATCTAAATGACAAACTGACAGTTAAAGTCAGGCGAAGTGAGTGATGGGCAGACGAAATGCACCAAAGTGGTCGGACGGACCGTTAGTCGGTCCAGTTATGCGAACGACCGTTACAATAACCATTCGACGATTTCATGCGAAGATAAACTGACGCTTGATTTGTGGGTGGGTTTGTGCCAATTTGTATGTATATGTGCATATGTGTGTGTGGAATACAATATAAAGTCTACTGAATATATGTATTGCGAGTTACATATGCATACTGACATACATATACATATGCACATATATAGACGTATATGTATATATTTATATAAAGTGTGTATGTGTAGATGCTTGTCTGCCAGTCAACTTATGCGAAACCGTTTGCTTATTGCGTTGGTTTATTTCTGCATTTGGATTTGTATTGTAAATCACACATGCCGAAATATTTTGATAACGGCCTCCCACCGCCTGTTTTGATTTGACAGGGCGTTGGCCTGCGTGTCAGTAGCGACTTCAAAATATTTTATCGCATAGCAAACATCACCACATGTGTATGCAACTTTTTGTGGTGGCGTGCTGATGCGTGAAGACATGCTCTTAGTTGTATGTGTGAATAAGTTAGTGCCCAATATACTGTACTAAAACTGAACATGGTAAATAATACCAGAGATCAAAGAAAGTGGGTCCAGTATTTCTGACTTTACTTAACTATCTTTACAATTCTAATTTTCATAGCTTAGATAATTGCTGTCGTTAAACTGTGTTGGTACATTGGTCATTAATGCAAAACTTCACTCAATTTATGAGTGATAACTGTCGAACGAGACAAGAAAAAAAGTCACTTCTGCTCCACCGAAGTATAGTATAGTAAAAAAATTGTATCTTGATTTTCTTTTCAGTCACTTTGTATGACAGCTATATGCAATAGAAAAAAAATTTGTTCGGAGATATTACAACTGTTTTGGACAATAATCTTTGCCGAATTTCGAGAAGATATTTTGTCATATAAAAATGTTTTCCCACTTGAGTTTGATCTATCAGATTGTATGACAGCTATAACCTATAGAAGTCCGATATCGGCGGTTTTGACACATTAGCAGCTTCTTGTAGTAAAATAGGGCGGGTGGAAAATTTCAGAGTGATATCTCAAAAACTGAGGAACTAGTTCGCGCATATACAGGAGGTCGGAAAAACGGACATGAACATATTCGACTCAGCGTGTCACGATGATCATTTATATATATATATACTTTATAGGGTCTCCGACGTTTCCTTCTTAGTGATACATTCTTCAAGGTATAGTAAAAACAGGGCTGTGGTTCTACTTAAAGTAAATGCCGAATTTCAATCTATGTTGAAGAAGTCCGAAGTGTTTTCATAGACACTCTTACATTAAACTCATTCATTTAGGCTTATCCTGTTGCTCCTTTGAGAAAAATTATCTAATATAAAGTATATTAGATTCAATGGTTGATCATTAAGAGGGCGATCAAAATTATACTACTAAAACAGTACTTTGTGAAGACAGAAAAAAGAATGCCTGTAATCTGATTTCAAAAGTCGACAAAGCGTCTTCAGATAAATACAAAACAGCTTGGGCGTTTTATTTCTATTCGCACCAGCTCAGCGGAATATCTGTAAGTGTGAGCTCCCAGGTGTTTAAGCCATACTCTCGCAGAAGTGGGACAATCAAGAAGGAAGTGTTGAAATGTATGAACATCGTCCAAACAGCTGCTATAACTGGCATCCGATAAGATATTTAAAATTACTGAAGTCTAATATACAGAAGGTAAACGTGGACTTAGTAATGAAAACGCAACGTAAATTTCACGATTCTTCGAAAAATTGTGGTTTCATAGCAGCAATTAAAGAAACTGCGTCTTTGAACTACGTAAAAATAAGGGTCCAGAAGTTCAAGAGACCAGTTGCAATAATGATTCAAAAACGGCCGTTCCTGAACTTAAAAGATCATGGAAAAAATTCGCTCCAGTATGCTATAAAAACGCCAGGTAGGTTCTCCAGAGGTTCTCCATATATTTTTGCACAGGCAAGGCACATTTTCAAGTAACTGAATACAGAATATATCTTAATTCATATCTAGTGTTTTATGAATGGTTGCAATGCAAAAATACCGAGAAGTAAACGAGCTTATTTCAATTCCTTCATGCAGCTGTCAAGAAAGGATTCAAATGGACCCTAAGTCGCAATGTTGTTCAAAGCGATTAATATTATATAAAATTCAAAAATGGATACAACTCGTGTATTTTAAAGATATGTAATTTACTCGAGGCATAGCTATCAAACCAATATATTTGACGTTTGTATTTAAGATATTATAACGAACTATTATATGTCAAAATGGAACCTAAACGTCGAGCAAAAGTTACCGAGATTAAGGTTTTTTGTTCTCAACGTCAATTTATTTGCTGTTCCATTAGTATGTTCTAACAAAGTCATATCAAGAAATGGATATGACAACTGGTCTTGTAGGTCGTATAGTTCGACTACGATTTTTTAGCCATTACACCATTGACTGAACACCCAATTATGGCAGACCTTTTATAAATATTTTGCATCGCACTGAGTATTATCAAACTAGTTAAAGCATGAAGTAGTCTCCCGTAAAATGTTTGCCTCCAGCTTTTATATGCATTGAGCAAATATGTTTGCTTGAAAACATACCGACATTGTACCAGCTGATGCTGTCGGCTTTAAATAGAAAGTTTTAACGAATTTTCAAAGATTAAATTAAAATTTTCCGCATGAATCTTGCGTTTTTGTATGCAAAGTCAACAAGTTAAAGGGTCAGCAAAGTCTTGATATCCAAATAAAAACAGATACACTAACAAACAATAAGATTTGTGTCTATGCATTTTGGCATATATACAGGCCAATGTTGTGTAAATCAATTTTTGTACACATACCAATACAGCAACAGATTTGTTTTCCTAACTTCTTTGGAAACTGTCATTTTGGTGTTGATATTTCGATTTACATTGTTGAAAAACCATCGGTTGTTTGCACATTATTGCAGGCTTGCTGTAAAACTTTTTTTCAGTGAAAGATTTTCTTAAAGATTTCGTTGTTTTTTATGGCAAAATCTTGAAATAAAATTATGTCTTCATATCTAAGTGTGTGATTTTCTTAAAACTTATATGTTCTAATTTTTGGACAAGCCGTCCATATTTCGGCTGGTAAAATTATTATTCTTCGAAATCTAGCTATTTTAGGGCCCTGAAGATCCAACTTTTATGAGGCACTAGAAAGCCACCTTCTAAGATCACAATGATATTTTGGGTTTCGTCGACTCATGATGTATCTTGAGAGCTTCTATTATTTCTATTAAGCTTACTTTAGAGCACTCGTGTTGTTTCTACTTTGCTGTAATCAACGTTAACGGGAAACTGGACGAAATACGCGCACCATTATAACCTGATTATTTACAGTATTCTTTGTACGATATTATTCCCTAGCGGAAATACAGTTTTTTTGAAAGCGATGTCAGCATGTTTTCAGATGCATTGTCACTGTAGTATACTTACTTCTTGATCAGAGTAACCCTACCACAACTTTTGGAAGAAGGATTAAATTTGATAAACGTCTTAAAAAACTAAAATAACATACTTCATTTATAACAATACCATCAGCATTCAAGACTTTGGTGAACGAAAAATCTACAAAGGATCTGTTTCATCGTTTTATGTAATAATTGATTGAAATGTAAAAGCATCTCGCAATAACCCAACCCATCAGTCATAATCGCGGAATGACGCCTTAGCAATTATTTGAGCCTTAATTTGTTGAATAATATTATGATTTGTATGACAACCCAGAATAGAAGACCGATCGAGGCTCTAATAAATTTGTTCTTCGGAACGAATATACTTAGTTTAAGAGATTCGTTCTCTTCATAGACTCTTTAAAAAAAGTGACATTGAAGAAACGTTTAGTAAAAACTTCTCCGGGCAACAGGGTTAAGGAATAAGGGTTACTCTGGAAAAAGGTTATTTTGGAACTACTTCAACATAATTAAAAAAAAAAACCATCTTTGCTTCCTCTACTCAAAACAAACCAACTCTCTCTCTGTCGACTATTGTAAAGCGTTACAGCTTAGAATTATTTCTAGTAGAACAAGACTTCAAAGGTGTTTGCACTAACTTGCTGTGTGAACTAACTTAGAATAAGCCTTTGGAGAGTTCTAACAAGCGTAGGCTTTTGTGAAAAATTAAAATGTGTAGTTAATGATACAATTGTATCTGATAGATGTGGGTTTTAGAAACATCCTATCTCTATCTCTTATTTTAAATCTATAAGTCCATTTTAAACTCACTTTCTCACTTTCAATCTGAAAAGATATGCCTTTCCGCTTCCTATCCGTCCTAAATGTTGACAAGCTAAATATTTTGGATTATGGTTCTAGTTTAAACAAACCGTTATGCCTATATTCATTAGTAGTCATACACGGTTAGGTAAAAACCGAATCGATTTACGATAAAATCTACGATATTCTATCGTAATTCGTCTGACCGCATTGCAATTAGAATAAACTAAAAGATCTTTAAAACAAAAAACCTATGCAGGCAAGTAAAAATCTACGAAATTACACTAAAAGCGATAATAATAGCAAAAAAGCGATAAAAGAGAGTCTTAAATGGATGAACGATTTCAGCAAAAAGTTAAACGTTTTCGATTTCGCATTTTGAATATGCAGTGCTTTCAATTTTGTTAAGAGCAGACAACGAAAACAGATAAGGCAGACGTTGGCATTGCAAGCAGCACTAACGGGGCTATGAAACAATAACAAATCGCACATGAGTTGGGGTTGGGGGTTATAGCAACACGACAGACACTATACGATGCGCATGTAGTAGATACAATCTGATGTAACAAGACGCAGACTGTAACAACAACAGCAAAAAATCTCATTATAAATGAGACTACAATAGCAACAAAAGGAAGTTGTGAACGCAACTATCTGGGTGGTGCTAACGACAAACTAGCGGTTAAATCGAATGTGAACTATGAAAACCGAATGAACCTCAAACACCGTTAACCGAGATAACATCTTCAGCACGCACCGACATTTACTTTCAACGTATTTACATATGTATGCATGTGTGTATGTGAGCAATTGTAAACGGAAATGTTGAAGACACTACCAAGTGTTTAAATGGAGAAAACTGAAAAAATAAGCGAATGAGAGAAAAATGTAGAAATTGCTTGAAAGAAAGCAAAATAATAGTAATGCTCTTAAAACTGTTCAATAATAACTGTAGTATACGAAATCAACAATGGTATCTAGTGTAGTTTCGGAGAGGTGTTTAAGTAGGATGGTGTTTGGTTGTAAAACTAGGAGATTTGGGTAGTATTTCGTAAAGAAAAACTTCGAGAAAAAAAGTATTTGGTGCCAACTTTGAATAAATTACAGTCTCCTCAGATGAGCGGGTTGAATGAGAGAATTTAAACGGTTTGCGCTTGACTGCAAATATTAGCTAAGGCAGGATATGTTATCTAAAATATCAAAATTTGATCTTATCGAAAATCTTAGAACTCTTTTATTTACTTATTTGTGAAGAGCGAGATTTGACAATATGCCATTTATGACAAATTTTCATATGTAGTAGTATATTTTTTTTTAGAATCATCCTTAACCACTCAATTTACTTACAACGATGAAAATTTGCCAAAAAAGAGCTTATTCTTTGAGATTAAATTAGCTTCAAATACACGCTTTTAGGAGATAAACTCCGCTATGGTTCTTATTTTCTCTTTTCAAAGTTGTATGATTGTTATTATTTAAAATAACTGTTGTAAGATCCGATTCTTCTCCATGAAGGCGTGATTACCTTTTCATCAAGGTAGAAAATATACCCCACAGAACAGACACCAATCAATGTATTTCATTGTTCAGTCTTTTGTATGGATATATCGACTCCTTCTTAAAGACGTTCGAACAGCCGCGTACATTGCTGTTATCTGTCAAACATCCATCATATAAAAATCCTTGGCAATTTGAAAGTCTCTTACGGCAGTACTTTTATCAGATAGCAGTGAGCGCTTCAGAGTTACAGGGGATGCCAATCCACTTAAACTAGCGAATAATAAGAGTAATACAATATATCACAAGATCAAAGAATCCATAGCAGTGTTAATCCATATCAAAACACTGAATATACTACAGATATATCCAGTTTGAATATTTGGACTTGAAAGCAGTAAAAAGAAACTCTACCGCTGATGGCAGCGATGCTGGTAAAAAACCGTTCCCACCCGTCGTCTACGTAACAGGACCACGGACTTTTATCTGGTCAAGGAGTTTGAACTCGATAGCATTGCTCTAAATTTTAAGAATGTTTTCTGCGACTGCAACAAAGACGACGTGATAAGCTGTTGTTGTGATATCGACCTGAAATTTTAATCACTGAAAACTTTTTTTTTTTTGACAAGGTCTCTTCACGAAATTTGGCACAGATTATAACTCAAGGTATCGCTACAATCTCTGAAGAAATCGTTCAGATCGAACAACTATAGCATATAGCTGCCATACAAACTAATCGATCCAACATAAGTCCTTGTAATGAAAACATTTTATATTTGTTAAGATATATTTACGAAATTTGGCGTAGATTATTGTTCAAAACATCGATACAATATCCAAATGAATTGTTTAGATCGGACATTATACATATATGTCTATTAAGCTGACCGATCAAAATCAAGATAAAGATCTTTTTATACTCCCCTGTTACCTGTGTTACACCTATGATGAGTATTATATATTTTTAAATGTGACTAAACCTAAAATATTTTTCGACCGAAGTACTGAAAAAATCCTTTAAATTGTGTTAGCTATTACACTTTTGGAATATAAGTTTGTTGAACTTTTTTATAGTGAAATATATATTTCAAAAAGATGGGTGATAGTAGCAGACGCTGCTTAGCGTTCTTTCCGTTAGTTTACAGAAAAAAAGGGACCATAAATGTATCTTATATTTTTCAAGGTTTCTACAAATATAAGCTAATCATTTAATTTTGTAGTTAGCACTTTAAGGTGTTTTATACATACATAGTCGAAACAAATTAACACTTGATTTCCCCTCAGCAAACCTAATAGACACCTACCCTTAAATTGTGTACGACGGTAAAACCTTCAGTATTCAATTAAATTTGTTATGGAATATTTAATATACCTCATAATTTAGAACTTGTTAGACCTCGTTTCAAATATTCAGTGGCAACCGTACAAACATAACATCAATTAACTCACAGTCATCTAACCTCAAAACATCATTGTGAATATGAAAAAAACCAAAATTATTCAAGTTTATT